TTTGTAGATATGGCTCCAAGAATTAAAATAATAGTTCGTTTGATTGTATATTCTTAAAATAAGTTATGCTTAAATCTCAACGTAAACGTAACAAAGTTCAAATAATACAATTTTTTAAAATATTTCAACAGAATATTCAGGACATTCGGTTAGTATTTTTTGAATATTCCAGAAATTTCGGTTAATATTTTTTAAACCAAAAGAATTAGTTGTTCGTAGATTTAGCAGGACTTTTGTTTTCGCGAATATTTTTTTTTTATTTTTACGCACTAAGATGTTTGAGAACATTCAAGTTTAGGTATGTTTTCATGTAATTGAACTTATTATTTTGCGAAGAAACAAAGAAACATACATAAACTTAAATGCTCTCAAAACGACTAAAAATTCTGGCCGGTGTTTTGCAACTACATATTATTTTTGTGGTCAGTTATCGAGTGCAATCGCACCCGCTTCCCGACCAAGCCTGCATTAAATGTGGTAATTGGATTTGAAAGCACTTCTGAATTTATTATTGACAATCTTTGTTTGTATAATTTGGTCATTTTATCATATACACCAGAGAGAAGAAATATTAAGTACAGTACATATTGACTCAAGAGACCCAGAGAAGTTAACCAGTTATTCAAGACATCATTCTAAATACTTATAAAGCTAAAAGAATTTTAGTCTTTTCTACAAATATGAATGATGTAAGATCTATTGATACAGATGGCGTACAGAGTAACGCAATCCTGTTAGTTTACCCAAGGTTTCTTGCTTCTCAAAACATTAACTCTGCTGTAAAAACATATTCTAAGAACAAAGAACTATGTCGCAGGTCAATGCTGTTAAGTGAGTTTTCTGCTACAGAACATAAGATTGACCCAAATCATGATTGCTGTGACGTTTGTGAAAAAATATGCTTATGTTGCAGTAGATATTGTGGATTAAAAATAAACTGGTGCAAAACTATATTACCAAAAGAAGTTTTAAAACCTGTAAATTTGCAAATAGTACTTAGTTTTAAATATAAAGAGTTGCTAGAAAAACAGCTATTAAAAATTCGCACTGCACATGTTGGAAAAAAAAATACCTTTTGTGGTCCTGATATCTCACCAGGATTTCCAATGTCTGCTATTGCACAAGTTATTGATGTAGCATAGTTTGGAATGAAACAAAAGGATTTAAAAAAAAAGACCTGTATTTTTAACGAAGATGTATTTGGTTTAATTTTAAAAGCAGTTTTTGATATATTTTCAGAATACAACCAAGAGGTTTTATCAGAATGTAGTGGCAGTAGTTTATCCACTGAAAACAGCAATAGTAGCAGTTTATCAGATAATACAGACGATTTGCATGCAAACATTTCAAAGGAATCATCTGATGATAATTTTTAGAGACATTGTCTCTAAAAGTATTTTGATGATGTGTTTGTAATTTTTTGTACTTTGATGTATTTGTACTTTTTTATTTTATATTGAAAAAAGATTTAAAATTTTAAAAATTAGTTTATCTCTTTTTATTATAACAATTTAGTATATTCATAATACAATCATTAAAATCATAATACAATCATTAAAACAACATAATACAATTAAAAAAATCATAATACAATCATTAAAACAACAAAAACTTTACGCATGTAACAACAAATTTTTGCTAAAAACAACAAAGTTTACCAAGGTTGCAGACGTTTTAGTTAGAAGTACAGAAAGTAATTTTTTTGATTTTCATGTGCATAGAGGGTTGAAAATTCAAAAATTTGGAGGGCATAATAAAAATTAAACGTTTTTCATATGAAACAAGTAAAAACAAAAAAAAAAATCCAAAAAAAACTAACTTAAACTATTTTTTTTATCTGTGCCTTCCAAAAATCTGATAAAATAGACATTCGTTTATAAGTATATAAAATTTCAATCATCAAGCATGTAGCTTAAAATATTAAATCTTGATTGGCCCAAGACAGGTTTTCCGTAAAATACGCAAAAAATAGAAAAGTAATCCAAAATCATTTAAAATATTTTAATAATGCTTATTTTTATTTCGTTTCATGTAAATATTTATTTAACGAAGAAAGATAGTTCTTTTATATTTTTTTAACTCCAAGATAAAAGCGTTTATAGAAAAAAAATACTATTAATTTAAAGTTAGTGAATTTTTATACTTTTTTTGCGGAAATTCTTTTTTATTAAAACAATCAAATTATATTTTTTCCATTTGTAATTTACATAATTCGTTTTAATATAAATCTTGAGATTAAAAGTTCAGAAATTTTTAGAAAAATCATTGTCGTTTTCAAATCATTGATATTTTAAAATCTCTATAGAAACATTTTCAAAAATATGTTTTGCTCTTAAATAATAAGTATTTTTGTAACTTCGCAATAAAAACAATATATAAATTTTAATGGCAGTACAAAATGTACTAAACTAAAAACAAAAAAACTTCGTATTCATGGGAAATTATTTTAACTGTAAATCTGTTGAACAGATTAGATTATTTAAGAGGGAAATCCAAGGAATACAGGATTTAAAACATAAACAAGATTGTCAAACTAGCTTCAACCCAAGCAGGGTTTTAAGGGCAATGTATAAAGGACAACGAACATTAATGGCCGTCTATAAAAAACATCGCCATTTTTAAGGCAAATTTCTCTTTCTCTATTCCTTTTGTAACAGGTTGTTCTTTTTGCCAATGATGTTGCTCAGAATGATGTTTGACACATTACTTTCTCTTCTTAAAAAACACATTTTTACATAGTTTTCCAAGTTAAAAAACTTAAATAAAATTCTAAGTGACATCATTTTCTGAAAACTCCTAGCCCTTATCCTTTTTATCTTGGCTCCCTCTATTTAGAAAGCCCATTGAAAATAAATCAAAACTCCTGGACAGTTTTACTACTTTTCTATATTTACGAGAACAGTTTTGTGTTTTTTACCCCTAAAGTAGTAAATTCTTGGACTTTCAAGGATTTTAATTGCAAAACCTTTATTAAACAGCTTCTTAAAAGATTCTATAGACAATATTTCTAGATTCTAGTTTTAATATTATTATTTATGAATATATGTGAAGAATGAAATTGTTTAACTAGTAAAAAAGGGTCACTCAACGTTTTTTAACATGTTCCCAAAATTATATATAATAAAATCTTCATGGATCTTTAGTTTTACTTTTTTTTTTTTTTTAATTGTTACTTGGTGTAACATTTTTTCATGCAGTTTTTATTTATAGAGATACTATTACATTTTATGTATTTCTGAATAGTTTTTTCATTAAATAAAAAATATTTATCAAAATAAAACTATCTAATCCAAAAAAATGTATTTATCAAAATAAAACTATCTATCCAAAAAAATGTTCAAAAAAACATTTTTTTGGATAGATAGTTTTAACAGTTTTTTTTTTTGATATATATTTTTATTGAACTTAATTATAACGTGAGGTAAAAAAAAAAACCCGGTGATCCATGGGCCCCCGGAGTTCATTGATCACTGGTTGGACACCTCTGAAGTAGAAGTATTTAGGATTAAACCGGAACATGTGACTCGTGTTTCATGCGTTTCGCGTGATTCATGTGACTCGTCTTCGAAAAAGAAAAAACCTTAACGATGACTGAAATACTATGTTTAGAGAAGTCAAGCGCGGATATCGAAGAAAAAAATAGAAAAGAATATAGTAGCGCAGAAAAGAGCGATGGATATTTTGGAAATAATTTTATTGAAAATTTTTTTATTACAAATCGTTAAACTTAAAAATTCTACCTCCAAAAAGTGGTGGTTGTCAATAGGTGGTTCTGCCAAATAAAAAATTACGTTTCCCCCTTCTTATCTTAATAGCTAAACATTTTTTAAAGCCATTTTTATGGTATAGAATATACAAAAGATCTCTGGGGGAGAGACCACATGAAATTGATGACCTTTTTATAGTCATTTATACGCTGTGTACAGGTCCGGCACTAAGAGGGGGAGGGGGTAACACACCTAAATATTGGTTTTGAGGTGGCAAAGATGGTAAAACAACTCAAGTCCACACTAATAACTTCTGATTAATTTTACTAACTAATATCTTCTGACTAAATTTCTTTTTACGTTCGCAATCGCAAAGGAAAAACAGACCGATTTCACAGATTTTATAAACTAGTCATTACAACCTAGTAATAAAATTAAACTGTTACATCATCAACATTTATCAAAAACAGTAGGAGCTACTGTAAAATTGAAAATTATTTAAATAATACAAACTCACAAGCAGTGACTTTTATGGAAGCTCAAAGGTAGCTTCTTAAAGATGATAGTTTGCTACTAACAATACAATAAAACTGCTAAAAAAACTTGAGCATTTATAACAAAATTAAAATTATAAAGTAAGACTCGTTAATTTACAATATATAATTCCATATGTTGATACAAGAATTACATTGATAAAATATTAGGACAAATATTTATGTAAGGAAAATTACATTATAAAAAATATGTGAAAAATTAAAATAGCCATAAAGCTACATGCCTGTTACTAGATTATTTGTGGTATAAATATTCATGTTCTTAAAATCTTCAAACTTCTTGTAAACCCATGATTTGTAACTATTAATGTCAATGTTACTTAGACAGTTCTTTGAAAAACCGGGAAAGCGAGTATGTGATCGTCCTTTAATATAATGAAATATTTTAGCGTCTTGCTGTTGGTCAGCCAACTGCATCACATCCTTTTTGGAATCAATAGAAATATGTCTTCCGGATGGAGTTTTAACTAGAAGTTGATCATCAACTGATTTTATTACTTCTTGAATTTTTCTATAAGATTTGCTGCATCGTGCAAGTGAACTTTCTGTTATTTGACCTTGATACTTTGCTAAATCTATTTTAATGTGTCTGTTTTCATGTTCACACAATCTGTCTAACTCTTTATTTGAGTCTACATTTCCTTTTGTATTTGCAAATCTGTTCCACATTTTTTCATGAGAAAGAGCAGGAGGAAGCAAAAAAATTTACTTGAGCTAGGAGGTGCAAAACTTGGTATGCTTACTTTGTACGATCAAGTTTTGTATAAAGTTTTGTATCAAGTTTGAAATAAAGAAGTAGAAATTTATGCAAACGCAATATCCGTTTCCCGTCTCCATGCTTTCTAGCATTGATAAAATCTTTAACCAAAAAACACAAATTTAAAGCATTTTTGCTGTAGTTTAGAACAAAATCTTCAGTTTTATCAGGCAACAATGTGGCATTTTTGTTATTATTTTTAATATGCATTTTTAAAGTCTTCATACGAATATATGATTTTTCACAAAATGAGCATTTATAGCCCTTGCATAAAAATATATCTTCTGACATATCAGGGGTTATATAACCTTCAACAAGATCCGTAAGAAGTTTTTTCATAAGAAGTTTATTATAACATTTGTTTCCCTGATCAGAAAAATCAAAATTGTTTACAGTAAAATAGTGCTTGAACGCAGTAACTAAAAATGCATCACTGTATTTAAGAATAAAATCTTCACAAGCATTGATGTCTTTTAACAGAGACGCTGATACAGATCTGGCATTAAAGAAGTTACGAGCCTGAAACAAAGTCCCAATGTCCTGAGAAGATGAAGCATGGTACAATAGATGCCAAATAACCTGTATTTAATTAGAAATTGACATAAACTAAAATTTAAATTATGCCTTGAATTTTGAATTATGTATTACAGTTTAAAAATAAAGTATTTAAATTTTTAAAAATTCTAAAAAAACAAAATAATTTTTTATAAGCTGCTCTTTGCTCTGCCTTTATTTTTAAAAAAAAAAAAGCAAAAATAAAATATAAGTAAAAGAAATTCCATTTAATGAATATAAAAAAACCTCAAGAAAATTGCCATATGTATGAAAATCTCCTAAGCAAGGTACTAGTCCTTCTAATCTTGTTGACGGGGTAGAGGAATCTCTCAAATCATCTTGTGCTTTTTGTTTTCTTTCAACCGTAAGTAGATCACCTACCGTTCTTACCAAATGATCTGATCCGTGACCTGGAACAAGTTTATGCTGGAACTTCATTATCTCAATAATTCCTTCTGTAGTTACTTTATTATGATCCAAGACACCCTAGGGAAACTAAAAGTAGTGGAAAAACTATATTGAGCGAGATAAATATTCAGAAGTCAGATATATTTGTTTTCTTAGGGTCTATAGGAGTCTACAAAATTGTACAAGTAGCATTACAAAATGTGGTATGTGTAGAGAAATATTGAACAAAACACGTTAAAACATTAAGCAAAGTGCATTAAAACTTTAAAGAAAACACATTCTGATTGTTTTACCAGAAAAAATATTGAACGAAACAATATAAAATGTTTAACAAAACAGTTTTAAAACTTGTTTTAACACAGGCAAACTTCAAACAAAATACATAGTAATAGTAATAGTGGGGATAATATACTGAGTGTGTAGCGCATGTACAAACTACTGAGAGGATTTTATATGTAATGATGCAAATATTACATTAACACCTGATTTAATCAAACGTACAAGGTAACTTTTATATTTTCTTAAATATAAAATCATATTAATTACGTTTGGTCACTTAAGCACAGATTGATTTATTTTAGTTAAAATAAAGAACACTTACCACCTCAGATTTCTGAGTTGTTTGTTGAGAATGTTCATGTGAAATGAAAAATACTACATACTTTTTAATTCATTTCAGATCCTTAAAATATTTAACCAGATCTTTGGAAGCCGAAATTTTGAATTCATTTTTTAATTCAGTTTCATCTTCTGTTGTTGGAAGAATTAGACTTGGGGAAATATTCAGGTATGTCAATCCGATTTTGTATAGCAATAATGTTAAATAAATGTCTATCTACATTTCTTTTTTCAACGTTTTGTTCTTATATTCACATTGTCACCAACAAACATAATTTTAGGCTTAAACGAAATGTCAATCTGCAAATTTAACGACTTTACCTTTTCCAATTCTTTAACTTGGGGTTTCCAACCATCAATTTACAAAAATCAATTTCATCTTTAAATTTTGGTTCTTCTAATGAAACATCTTCTAGGGAAGTGCTACCTAATAGAATTTTTATTTAAAAATTATTAAATCATAAATATATACATGCATATATGTATATATACATACATATATATATATATATATATATATATATATATATATATATATATATATATATATATATATATATATATATGCATATATATATATATATATATATATATATATATATATATATATATATATATATATATATATATATATATATATATATATATATATATATATATATATATATATATATATATATATATATATATATATATATATGTATATATATGCATATATATATGTATGTAAATATAAATAAATAAATAAATAAATATATATATATATACATATATATATATATATATATATATATATATATATATATATATATATATATATATATATATATATAATATATATATATATATATATATATATATATACAAAATTGTATCTTAACAAAAACAAAATTAGCAAAAAAAAGTAGTACCAGAACATTCTGAAGCAAATGAATAGTCAGAATCAACAAAGTTTATAGTTGAACTGTTTGCAGAGCCATCAAAAAACAGTCATTCATATTTGAAGATAAATGTTTAAGGCTAGAATCAAGAATATTATGAGTCAACTCAATTTGAATATCTTCACATTCTTGGTTCAGAGCAGAAGATATTTTTGATACTAAACTTATTGCACTGTATTCCAATTCACAAGCTAGCTTATGAATTGGTAGATAACAACTTTCCCCAACATCACATGTTTTTTCAAGACTGATGTATGTGATAAGCAAATATATAAAGATTGAAGCCTCTTAAAAGTCATTTTGTCAACTTTTCCTCTCTAAAGAACTAAAGAATTAACAATGGCATTAGCATTCATTTGTTGATTATGACACATTAGTAAACAGCTAATAGCATTTGTAATAGCAGGTATACAGGTTTCGATTTTTTTCCTTGTGTTTTTTTTGATAGATCTCACATTTCTTGCAAATGACATTGCCATTTTTTTTAACAAAGGAGCTTTCTCACATAACTCACTATATTGGACTTGATATGAAATTTTATAAGCATTATTAATATCAGGTAGTTTAATTGAAGAAGATGGGTAATTACGTAAAGTGTCTACTTCAAAAGAAACTGTTGTGTTAATATAATTAATTATAGAAATGCTACTAAGAACTTGATCCAGTTCTTTTATTGCATTAAAAATCAGAGCAACATTTCCTTTAATGGCAGATTTAATAAGTCTTTTTCTATTGATAGGATCATTAAATTTATTTACTTTTGGGTTTGAAGTACTTGTTAACAAAATCTAAAGTAAAAAAATAAAAATAACTAGCTACTTTTTGGGCTAGAGTGGAAAATTATTAGACTCATAAAGTCTTATTCTGTTAACTTTATAAACATTTACAGATGAATAAAACATTTCATAATATATTTTCACAATTTTTATTCAAAAAAATTTTTTTCATTCAATAAAAGATCCTTAGTGTTTAACTGTCAAACCATGATAGAACTATTTATTATTATAACTAAAACAAAAAAATTATTAGGTACTCTGACTAAAATATTTGTAACAAAATTTGATTTTTTTCTGAATACTTGTTTCTATTTACTAAAACTTGATTTTTTTCCGAATACTTGTTTCTATTTACTTAGTATATTACAATAATAACAATATAGAAAGAAAAAAAAAAGAGAGAAAAAACTGTTATAATTTTATAAATATTACAGTGCAGTTATCTTTTTTTTCCAAAAACCTAAAAATATGTATATGGCCGTTTTGGGGTTTTTGGCAACACGTATATGTATACCGCCTTTAATTAAGTATATGTACACGTATATATATAATAACCGCCCTTAATTAAGGGCGGTATACATAAACGTGTAAAGGTTTAATTAAACCTTTACACATAATTATCCTTTATCATTTTAAGATAAGCAAAGGTTTAATTAAACCTTTTTATATACATTTTAATGGTGAAAATAATACTTATAAAAAACATAAACAACTTCTATACTTTCTTGATCAAGTTTTATTTGTTTAAAAATCAAGTTTAGCTTGTTTAAAAACCAATCTACTATCTGTTACTTCTGCTGTTGGTATAGATATCAATGTTCTTTGAGAGCTTTCTTTATCTAATTTTTATAGAATTTTCTTTCTTTCTTTCTTTAATTTTTATAGAACCATCTTGATAGGATGAATACTTAAGTATAATTTCAAGTAGACATATAATACACACGTTTAATGAACTTGGAGATAAAAAAAACCTCAGAAGATTGTGAGCGTTTTTGTCGTGATGTTAAAACTTTTACTTTTTGAAGCAGTGAATCATCGTGATATTTGCATTGAAAATTAAACAACTTATCCTCCATTTCATATACTAAATCTTTATAATAGGATACTAATACTAGGATACTAATACTAATACTAGACACAATGATGTATCAAAAGCTCTTTGACCACTACTAATGATTAAGAACAAAATGACTTTATTATTATATTTATAAGTCTGTTAACAAAATAAACGTTATTTAATAATAATGATAACGTTTCTTTTTCCGCTTTGAATAAAAAATACGGGTTTTTAAAATGTTTACTACCCCGTTCTTATACTTACTAACCATAATTTTTTTTCGCCATTATTATTTTATTTTTTTTTACCAAAGTTTTCTCGTCTGACTTCCTAAACTTCACGGGAAAAAAAAGTCAGACGAAATATCGTCTACATATTGACCTGTCTTTAAATCTAATTTGAAAAACAAATAAAGTAAGAAACTAATAAAATACTGCAACTAATATGTTCTGCAGCAGCTAAATTAAAAAATTTTTTAGATCTTTCAAAAATATATCTTTCTATAGAATTCAATAAAATGAATAAAATTTCACTAAGTACTTCTTTTCTTTTAGCTAAAAACAAAAGTTCCTAATTTAAATCAATTTTATTTAGTGCAATGCAAGAAAAAAAAAATTTATGCTTTAATAAAGGTATATCCACTAAGTTCCTCCAGCTTGCGAGCTAAAAGATATATATTTTAATGAAACATTGCAGCATGTCACAGCTTTTTAATATAGAACAAACACTAGTTACTGATTCTAAAATATTTTTTTCAATAGAATTTCCAAAAAAATCAGTCTGTCTAGCAGTAAAGCCGTTTTAGCTTTGCAAGCTTGAACAGTTTGCCAAACATTTTTTACTACACAAATACCAGCAATATGATCAAAAGTTGCATGCTTAGCTGCTACATAAAACATTTTCATTCATGGACCAGTAAGAAGTTTTCCAAACACAGCAAGCACACACATTTCTTTTATGGCAGCTGTATTCTCGTAAAACTGCTTGTAAGTTTTTACACTTTACTGTACCTATGGTGAGAAAAACAAGTACGAAAAAGAATATGAAGACGGTTTTTACAATACCTTGGAATGGTACCTTGTGATAGCTTGTTGTTGTCTAAGAAATTTACAAAACCATTCGGATCACCTTTAACATCCTTACATAAATATATTTAGGTAATAATACTGAAATTAAGTTGTTTTTTTTTAAAAAAAGTTTCTATATATTGAAAAAAAACATCTAAAAATCAACTTAAAATTATAAATAAAAAAAAAAAACACTTGCCTAAGTAAAATACTATATTAACACAAAACTTGTAAAACACAAAGTTTTACAATTTTAGTGTTACTTTTTAAAATTTGCTTATTTAAATTGTTTTATAATTTGTTTTTATTTTTGTTAAGTTTTCTGTGTTTATTCTTGTTGACACAATTGATTTGATTTAACTCAAAATCAGGCTTGGTCAGGAAGGCGTGCGATTTCATGCCTTTATATGACCACGCAAACAATATTTTGTTTTTACAAAAAAACACCACAGTTTTAACATTTAAAGCGCTGAAAACATAACTTATTTATAAAGAAACTAAATAAACAAGCTTATTTTAAAAATAGAAAAAAATATCAACACACAAAAATAAACCCATATAACCTAAACACATATTAAACAAATATAAATAATAGAGGAATAAAAATAAAT